AAAAAAAAAAAAAGAGACTCACGGACTTTCCTGCCCAGGCAGGCTTCAAAGCATGTTCCTCCGATGTCAGCCTCTTGAGTAGCTAGGATTACAGGTATGAGCCACTGGTGCCCAGTGAGGATTTTTTTTTTAACTTCCAAAAACATACAGATATGAAATGATGGAAAATTGGAATAAAAGTCACAAAGAAGAAAAAAATTGCTAAATAACAATTTTAACAATAAAATTAATGTTTATGACCAATTAGGTACATGTGGAACTGGGAAGATTTATAGCCTGGCGCTGGGAATGTAGCTTACTGGTAAAGTGCTTGCCTAGCATGTATAAAGCCCTGGGTTTGATTCCACATAAACAGCAAAAGCCAGAAGTAGCACTGTGGCTCAAGTGGTAGAGTGCTAGCCTTGAGCACAGAGAGACTCAGGGACAGAGCCCAGACCCTGAGTTCAAGCCCTAGGACTGGTAAGGGAAAAAAATAAAGAAGAAGAAGAAAAAGGATTAATAGCCTGGGAGATGATAAGATAGAAAAACATTAATTAAAATCGTGTGCCAGATAAGAGTTGAAGCCAATATGTTGCCTAGCTTTACGTTATAAAGGTTATCACTAAGACATTCATGTAGAAATCCTCAAAAACTGTATATTGGGAGCTTGAGCTCTGACATTTCAAATGACTGTTACAGAAATATTTGGAGATGGATATGAGATTCCCACAGGGTTGGGGCTGCAAGATGCAAAAATTTCCTAAGCATCCTAGACTTGTATTTGTAAAATCAAAGCAATATCATAAACAATAGTTTTTCGAATTCTATGAACATATGAAGAATAACCATGCCAGGGTTCTACTCCTGCCCTTCAGTGACATAAATGCAGCTGCACAGCGTCAGAATGTGAGGGGTGGAAGTGTCCCCACCTGCCTTCCTCTTTTCATCACCTTTCCTGATGGCCTTTGCTCTGCTTTCCTGGCAACCCACTAGTGACTCCAGGACAGGGCTAGCACATATATGGCAGCCACTCCTGCCTACCTGGTAGTGGGCCAGTTGCCAGTGGGATAAGATTCTCTCCTTTGAGTCTTCAGAATCCTTAAGCAGAGACTCAAGTACATGGGCTTATATCAGCATGTGAGCTGATGGTGGGCTGGAAAAGGGTGAGTGCATTGGGATTCTAGAACCTTCCCCCTCCCCGCTCCCCCACCAATCTAGCAGCAGAACGCTGCTCACCCATCCCTCTCTCCTTCCAGGAGGCCAGGCTCTACCACAATCAGACCACTGAGCTTCGGGAGCTGCTGGAGTTCACACACATGTATCTGCAGTCAGATGACGAGGCGAGTAGCCCCTTTTGCTCTAGGTGGGGCTGCGCGGGACACCTTGAGCTTTCTCTTGGGACTGCTGTATGGGACAGTTGGGTCCAGCTGTTGTGAAGCGGGAGAAAGTTGTGTGTCCTTCCTCTGTAGCTCCTTCTGTCCCCACTTCAGCGTTTCCACAGCCCCTTCTCTGTGTGCCCCCGGCCCACTTCTCCTGAACTCAGCTGCCATTTCCAGGGAGCTCTTGCTTCTTGCCTTGGTTCTCCTCTAGGCTTGGAGTGTCAGCTCTGTGCCTCCCTGCCCGCCCAGCCATTTGGCCTGGGACCTGGAGTTATCGCAACCTTGGCCCACCTTGTGTTGGCCTTTCCTCTTCTCCAACATGGAAGATTGTGCTCCATCTTGGATTAGATTAGATGGAGGGATTAGATTATTCCCACCTCTGCCACAGCACCTGGCACAGCACCAGTACTCAGAAAGTATGAGTAAGCCAGTGAAAGAATGATGAAAGAATGAATGCAGGATGCCAGGAAAGAAGGACCACAGTGGATTATGTTGGTTCCGAATGACTTTCACAGCCTGAATCTCTCTGAGGTGTTACAGTTCAACATTTGTTTTCCCCTCCCTACCTGGCGTGGTACATGCACCTGCACTCCCATTCCATGAACGTGGGTCATAGTCTGCATTGTCAGCAACTGGCTTAGATTCTGGTCACACCTGGCTCCACCACCTACTGGTTGGGTAGCCTCCAAGCAAGTCTTAAGTAACTTCTTTTGTGTGTGCCAGTACTGGAGCTTGAACTCAGGGCCTTTTCCTTAGCCTTTTTGCTCAAGGCTGGTACTCTACCACTGCAGCCATAGCTCCATTTCTGGCTTAAAGAGTCTCAGGGACTTTCCTGCCCAAGCCGGCTTCTAATTGTGATCCTCAAATTTCAGCCTCCTGAGGAGCTAAGATCACAGGCGTGAGCCACTGTTGCCCAGCTTTAAGTAACTTTCTTACTCTTCTCTTTTTCCATCTATCAACTTGGGACAACGCCCTGCACAATTTATGTGGGGAGAATTGAATGAGATCAACTATGTAAATAAAAAACATTTGGTATTGAGCCAGCACCTAATAGGTGTTCAGGGAATGCTAGCTGCGTTGGTGACTGTCACTTGTTACCCAACACCAGGCTTGGGATTGGAATAAAGTGATGAAAGAAAGACAGTCCCTTTCCCCGTGTTTTCATGACAACCTGAACTGTGGAGAAGTCAACATCTACAGCAGACAATGATTCCTTGCCCAGCCTGGGTCATCAGCAGAGGCCTCAGCCTGGAGCTGATGCCTGGCTTTGGAGGGATTAACAAGGCAATCTAGTGTCTGGGGAACGAAGGTGTGGCTGGAAGAAAAACCAGCAGCAGAAAGTGTGCAAGACTGGCAGTATTCATGCTGGGGTGGTGATCTGATCCAAGGTGGAGCTGCTGACACTGTCACTCAGCCTCTGATGGTGGAACTCCACATGTCACCTCAGGGAAGGAAGTCTGGGAGCGAAACACTGCAGTAACAACCCTGCCATTGTCTCCAAGTTGGACCTTGATGGTGGAGAGAGGTGGGGGGAGGAAGTGGGAGGAGGTGGGCTTTGGGAGGTGAAAGATGGGATCATGGCCAGGAAAGAAGCCCATCCAGCTTTGATCCTGCAGTGACTTGTCTTCGTCTCCTAATTCTGGGCTGCTCTAGATGGAACTGGAGGAGACAGAACTAGCCGTGAAGCCCGAGGAGCCCCCATCTGATGCTGAGTTTGAGGGGGAGGGAGACTACGAGGAAGGCCTCTACGCCGACTGGTGGCAGGAGCCAGATGCCAAGGGTGACGAGGCAGAGGCTGGTCAGTGATGGGTCTAGTGGAGATGGTGGGGACAAGAATCCATCCATTCCTTGGGCTGTGGAGCCATTGGAGTTGAGGGGGGAGGAGCTGGGACCCCTTCTCTAGGGGCTTCCAGCCTCGAGACTGGGACCAGCTGAGACCTGTTCCTGGGGATTTTAAGCCTGCCTACTCTGCTTTTGCCAGGACACACCTGGACAGCTACTGGGGGTGGTTGGGGCTAACCCAATATTTTCTCCTTTTCTTTTTAGAACCAGAGCCGGAACTGGCATGAGAATGGTGTTTCTCCATCCCCGCTTCCCTTAAGAGCTCCGGATGCCTGGGCAGCAGCAAGACCTATTTATTAAAAATTTAAAAGTGGACACAGCTGGCCAGGCTCCCATAATGCCTCGCCTGGTGAGGGCTGTTCCCCAGACTCCATCTTGCTTCTCCTGTATCTCTGGACCACAGGATGGGGACAGCGCTCCAGGCAGGCAAGGGAGCAGTGGTGGTCTCCCTTCCCTGCTGCTATCCCCACCGCTGACTGGAAGTCTCAGCCTAAATTGCTGAGGACAGTGTGGGGTCAAAAAGACCATGGGACATGGAGTTTTGGCACTCAATAAATGCCAGGGTAGGTGCTCAATAAAAGTTTATTGTTGGATGACTCCACACTTGGGGTCCAGTCTTCCTGGAGCTGCCCTGTGAGGATGCTGGTCCTTTCCTTCCATTTCCTATAATCTGTACCCCATTTCCCATAATCTGTACTCTGTGTGTGTGTGTGTCTGTGTGACTGTGTGACTTCAAATATGCCACCAGGGGGTGCGAGAACAGTTTCCTGGAGCTGTGGGAAGATGGGTTTAGATTTCTATGAGGGGATGGCCTGTGTTTTCCTACCCCTCATTCCCCTTGGTGCCTGTGCTTTTTACTTCCCTGGCATTTCCCTAGAGTTAGAGCTAGCATTCTCTGCTCTGGCCTCCGCCCATTTCTCATTCTAGAGTGCATATGAGCTTAGGAGAGGAGAGCTCAGGGATATGGTTTGATGACTTGGGACTTAGTGGTGGGGGAAGGAGAGAATTCCACAACCAGAACCCCCCTGACCCCATCATCTCTCATCAGCTCCAGGAAACAGGAGTCCGGAAATGTGGAGGTAAGGACGGTGCCCTAATAGCTTCCACCCAGCCCTGTGCCCCACCTCCACGGCCATTCTACAACAGGGAGGTGAGGTAAAGAGGACCTCCCAGCAGGAACTCAGGCCAAGAATAGGTGACTGTCCTGTTCTGCATCTTGTTGAGCTCCCAGGGAGCAGGGTGGCAGAGGCAGCTTCCTACTGGAGGGTGGAGTAGGCACTGGGAAACTTTCTCACTGCCACACCTCTGCCTACTCCTCCCCGCCCCCCCCCATGTGCCAGATGACCTGGCTTAGGCCCCACCCACTTCAATTCTGGAGGACTACCCAGCCTCAGCCCTTCCCCTAGGCCTTAGATGAAGGCAGAGAGGCAAGAGTGTCTGATGAGGGCTGGATCCAGGCTAGGGGCTTGGTGACAGCCTTCTTCCCTCTCTTCTTCCCTCCTTCCTAGTGTAGGTGGGTCTCCGTGGTAGACAGCTCCCAGATGACTGGGGAGCCCTGCCCACCTCACCCCATCCTACCTGTCACGTTGTCAGCATCTTGCAGGCCGGGGCTCCTGCTTCTGGGAGGGGTTGCCCTCCAGGGCTGGAACAGGGATAGAGATGTGCTGGAGCTTGTCTTTGCAGACGTGCGCTGCTGTGAGCCATGGGCTTTGGAATCTGCACAGCTGGGTGTGGGTCTAGAAGTGCCTGTAGGCCAGAGCACAAAGGTCTGCGGGCTGGAGTGGGTCTGGATGTGCTGGTCTGGCATGAATGTGTGCCTGCACACACAGGCCTGAGGATGTCTGAGGAGCCTGGAGGGTGACTGAGCATGTGACCCAGTGGTCTTTGAACATGAGCATGGATTTTGTTGTTGATTTGTGTTTGTTTGTTTATGCCAGTCCTAGGGCTTGAACTCAGAGCCTGGGTGCTGTCCCTGAGTTTTTTGCTTGTGGGCTAGCACCTCACCACATGAACCACAGCTCCACTTCTGGCTTGCTTGGTACTTAATTGAAGATAAGAATCTCATAGTTAAAAAAAAAAAAGAATCTCATAGTTTTTTCTGCCCTGGCTTCAAACCTGGATCCTCAGATCTCAGTCTCCTGAGTAGCTAGGATTATAGGCGTGAGCCACCAGTGCCCAGCATTGTCCAAGGATTTGGCCTTGGAGCATGATCCTTCTGCTTATGGCTCCCCATAATGGTCCACTGTACCTGGCTTATTGATTGAGATGGGGCCCTACTAATTTTTTCCCTTGGGCTGGCCTTGAATTGTGATCTTCCTGATCTCTACCTCCTGAGTGGCTACCAGGAGCTAGCCATCATGCTGAGCTTAGACATACAGTCATGAACAAAGCAAGCTAGCCCCCTGTCCTTCAAGAGCTTATGTTCTAATGGAAAGACAGGCAGTGGACAAAAGATGTTATATAAATTGATACTTACGTTGGATATATGAGCTGGGAATTAAGAGTCAAGTGAGAAGGTTCCAGAGTCCTGAGGGGTTACAGTGTGTTGATATGCATGTCTAAGTGTGCATCTGAAAGAGTGTGTGTGTGTGTGCGTGTGTTATGGGTGTCTCCTGGGAGCAGAAGGCTGGCCCCTTCCTAGGTACCCCATCCAGGCCTTTAGTCAGCCATCAGCTCTCTTTTCCCAGAGAGCCACTGGCCCCTCCCGTCTATCCCCCATGTCAGCCTCTCCCCATTGCCCAGCCAGCCAGCTCCCCAAACCGGTGAGACAGAGTCCCCGCCAGTCTCTGCGTGGGCCCTGCAGCCCATTCTTCCAACCTCACCCAAACACCTGCCCTTCCCTCTACCACCTCTTTACCCTATCCCCCAATACCCCTCCCCCAACTCCTCCCCAGATCTAGAATTCATAGTATGATGAGTCCTGCAGAAGGCAAAAGGTGGTGAGATTCCCACCTCACACCCTAGGACCAAAGTTGGAGACACGGGCACTGAGGTAGCACTGACACAGAAGAACTCCATCCTAAGGAAAGCAAAGCTGTTACGGTGTACTGGGTAGCTACTACGTGCCAGGCCTCTGAAAAAAATTGTTTACAGCCGGGCGTCAGTGGCTCACCCTTGTAATCCTAGCTACTCAGGAGGCTGAGATCTGAGGATCGTGGTTCAAAGCCAGCCCAGGCAGGAAAGTCCATGAGACTCTTTTTTTTGTTGTTTTTGTCAGTCGTGGGGCTTGAACTCTGGGCCTGGGCACTGTCCCTCAACTCTTCAGCTCAAGGCGAGCGCTCCACCACTTGAGCTACAGCGCCACTTCCAGCTTTCTGGTGGTTTATTGGAGATAGGAGTCTCACAGTCTCTCCTGCCCGGGCTGGCTTTGAACCGCGATCCTCAGATCTCAGCCTCCTGAGTAGCTAGGATTACAGGCGTGAGCCACCAGCGCCCGGCTCCATGAGACTCTTATCTCCAATAAACCACTAAAAACCGGAAGTGGTGCTGTGGCTCAAGCGGTAGAGCGCTTGCCTTGAGCTGAAGAACGCAGGGACAGCGCCTAAGCCCAGGGTTCAAGTCCCATGACAAAAAAAAATTGCTTACAATCCTCAAAACTGTCTTGAACCAAGGACATCATTTCTTCCCAGTTCCAGGTGTGTGTGTGTGTGTGTGTGTGTGTGTGTGTGTGTGTGTGTGTGTATACAGGTCTAAATTGAAGATTAATAAACAGCTTGTTTAAGCTTCCTTGAGGTGGTTAGTGATTGACCTGGGTCTGGACCTCTTCTCCCTAAATCAGTGCTGCTCAGAGAAGAGAGAGAATGTTGTGGGTCTCTGGTGGCTGGTCTTGCCCCTTTAGGCTGTCAGCTGAGCCAGGGGAAGAGAGAGAGAGAGAGAGGTAAAGGCTGTAAGGTGTGAGGATAAAGCCACCAACTGTGTGTAGCCGACAGGGACTTTAAAAAATGAGAGAAGCGGGGCTGGACGCCAGTGGTTCAATGTAATCTTTGCTACTCTGGAGGCTGAGATATGAGGATTGTGGTTTAAAGGCAGCCCAGGTTCAAAGCCAGCCCAGGCAGGAAAGTTTGTGAGACACTTATCTCCAGTTCACCACTAGAAAACTGGAAGTGGCACTGTGGTTCAAAGTAGTAGAGCACTAGCCTTGAGTGAGAAAAGCTCAGAGACAGTGCCCAAGCCTCAAGTTCAAGACCCACTACCAGCAAAAAGAAAAAAGAGAGAAGGGGAGAGGACGGAAGAAAATGGAAAGAAAGAAAGGAAGGAAGGAAGAGAGAAAGAGAAAGGGGAAGGAAGGAAGAAAAGAAGGAAGGAAGGAGGAAGGAGGTACTTTGTTTACCTGTTGACAGCAATGTGGGACTTGGGCCTAATGTTAGGGGGGCCTGGGACAATTTCTGAGGTCATTTAGGATCTCAACTTCCTGGGTGTGAGGGTCAGGGTTTGGAAACAGGTCCTCCTGGATCCCAACACTATCAGTGAAGTCTAGTGGGAGAAATGACCTCAGCTTTGAAAATAATTCTTGTAGTCTTACCCTCGTGCTTCCTGTCTGGAAGAACAGAATTTTCCCTGGGAACAATCAGAGGCCCCCTTCCCCATGTCAGAAGGTTGTGACTGAGGACAATCCTGACAGTCACAGGGCCCAAGCCTCCACAGTTTTCCCACCTCGAGGCCTTCCCCCGGGCCTTCTTTGGCAACCTCTAACGTCAGCCCTGAAGATGGCCCAAATTTCATGTCTGGGGAAACTGAGGCCCCAAGAGTCTGAGTTTGGCCTTTGAGGGCTGGGGTTCATTCTGAGTTAGGCTGATTTAATTCCAAGGTGACTGGGATTAGTTAGAGGGGAGTGTGCTGGGGGCCAGGGTGGACCACTGGAACCAGCCCAAGTCTGAACCCTAGGCTTGACCTGTGGACACATCATCCCATAATCACCACCTGCCTGGGACTCAGCTGGCGCCGGGGTACCTGGATAGCATCTCTTCTGTCCCCCCTAAACAGCCCTTGGGATGGGAGCACCCCTCTTGCCTATGACTCAGGTAGAGAAACTGAGGTAAGAAGGATATGCTTGTTTACCCTTCCCCCATCTGCACATACTTCATGTGTGTGTGTGTGTGTGTGTGTTCACACTGATGTGCACACATATTGTTACTAGGGCTTGAATTCAAGGATTAAGCGCTGTCCCTTAGCTTCTTCACTTATGGTTGGTGCTCTGCCACTTGAGCCACAGCTCCACTTCAAGGCTTCTTGCTAGTTAATTGGAAATAACAGTCTCATGGACCTTTCTGCCTTGGTTGGCTTTTTTCTTTCTTTCTTTTTTTTGTCTGTCAGCCGTGGGGGTTAAACTCTGGGCCTGGGCGCTGTCCCTTAGCTCTTCAGCTCAAGACAAGTGCTCTACCACTTGAGCCACAGCACCACTTCCAGTTATCTGGTGGTTTATTGAAGATAAGAGTCTCACGGACTTTCCTGGCCGGGCTGGCTTTGAACTGTGATCCTCAGATCTCAGCCTCCTGAGTAGCTAGGATTATAGACGGGTGCCACCATGTCCAGTTTATACTTCATCTTTTGACTCTTCAGAAGAACTCGCTAAGATAGGTCACAAGCAAAGAAAAG